ACACTCTCCTTAAAAAAACTGCGGTCCACCGCGGCCGCAGCCTAACATAACAGAGGTAACGGTCACCTACGACCAAACAGAATTGTACTGAACCCGTGCTATCAAAATAAACAAAAATGGCAGTTCTTCAGTGGAGCATTCGCGGTTTGCGTGCAAACCAGGCAGAACTCTCCCATCTCTTGACCTCACACACCTCAAATGTGATCTGTCTACAAGAAACTAAATTGCCAACACCCACATTCACATTAAAAAACTACATGTATCAAACTTACAACCATATATACACCGACAACCAAATCGCTTCTGGGGGCAACTCCATTTAATAAATAACCAAACACCACACAGACAAAAACAAATAGAGAACTAATAAACCATAGCCCTCTGTGGGGGAAATGAACCAACTGACACTAAAGGTAAAATCATAGAAGATTTCTTAACAAAAACCAATACTAGTATTTTTAACGACAATTCCCCAACATTTCAAAATTCAAATAACTTAAGCTTTTCATCCATAGATTTAACCCTATGGGATCCAGAACTAATTCCTGACTTTCAGTGGTCGGTCCTGGACGACCCATACGGATCGGACCACTTCCCCTTCAACCTAATTTCAGACATTCCACACCGAACTCCTATCCCGGACCGTTTCAATCTTAAAAGAGCGGACTGGGATGGGTTTCACGTGGAATGCCTCCTGAAACTCAACCCATCTCAAAAACCAACTTTTGATCAATTTCATGAAACCTTTCTAGAAATCGTTCAAAGACACATACCCACATTATCCACCAAAACCCGAAAAAATAAATGTTGGTTCACTGAAGACTGCTTAAAAGCGTTTGCGGCTAATAAATCAGCTCTCAGGAAGTTTGTCAACTCTAAAACAAACGAAGACCTCACAAATTTTAAAATTGCACGAGCTCAAGCACGCAGAATAATCAGAACGGCAAAAAACAAAAAAAACCAAAACAAACCCCACCTTCTTTTCGCAATTATGTCTCTAAAATAAACAACAACACACCAATGCACAAAGTCTGGAAGATGCTAAAGAAATTAAAAGGTACTAAAAGAGACACAATCAAACACATCTAAAAACCAAATAACCCCTTCGCAGAGACAGAAAAAAAAACACTAGCTGACTGTATAGCATCAACCCTCTCCAGAAATTCTTCTACCCAAAATTGCAACCCGGAATTTAAAAAATTGAAAAATTAAATGTCTTCCGAAAAGACAACTGTTGATTTTACCTCTTCAAATGAAGAAAACTATAATTGCAGCTTTTCTCTCGATGAACTAAAATGGAACTACTATTGACCATCTCGTCCCACTTGAAACTTTCAGTTGGGAAGCTTTCATTCGGAAAGAGCACCTTGAGGCTATTTTTTCCACTTAGAAAAAGCCTTCGACACCACATGGAAACATGGTATTTGAAAAGACCTGCATGACTTGGGCTTACGCAGAAATCTTCCCGAATTTATACGAAACTTTTTGAAAGATCGATCCTTTCCGATCATTTCAAGTAAAAGTAGGTTCTACCCTATCAAGTTTACACACCCAAGAAGAAGGTGTCCCCCAGGGAAGCATCTTATCACCCATTCATTTTGAAATCAAAATCTATTCCATCACAAAAACCCTTCAAAAAGATATTGACTGCTCACTTTACGTTGACGACTTCCTGATCTGCTATTAAATCAAAATCCAAAATAGATCACAGTGAACGTCAGCTTCAGATTCAACTCCATAAACTGGAAACTTGGACAAACGGGCACGAGTTAAAATTTTCTTAAACAAAAAACGAACTGTGTACATTTTTGTCTGTCGCACAAGTGTCTGAGATAACCAGATTTATATTTTTATAGGGAGAAAATTCCTGTTAAAAAACAAGCTCGTATCCTGAGCGTAATCTTCGACAACAAACTTTCTTTCCTACCCCACTTGAAAGATCTAAAGATGAGGTGTCAGAGTGCTCTCAACGCTTTAAGAGTATTACCCAATCCCGAATGGGGAGGAGATACTGAAATACTTCTTTAACTTTACCGTTCCCTTGTCCGTTTCAGGCTGGACTATGCCAGTCCTGTTTACGGATAAGCCAGAAAGTCTTACCGTAAAATTTTAGACCCTGTTCAGAACCAAGGCTTTCGCCTTGCCCTAGGCGCTTTCCGTACTTCACCTGTAGAAAGTTTACTGGCAGAAGCTCACGAACTTATATTCAGACACATACACACCGAGACACCGAGACACATACACACACACACACACACACACACACACACACACACACACACACACACACACACACACACACACACAGACACACAGACACACACACTGACACTCACACAAACACACACAGACTTGACAGACACACAATTGCACACACAGAAAGACACACGCACTTACACACATACAGACAGACAGACACACACACACACACACACACACAAACACAGACACACACACAAACACACACACACGCGCACACACACTCATAAAGACTCGCGTAGACACACATATATTATACACACCCACTAACACGCAGATAAAAACACAAATTTACACATTCATACACATTATAATCTGTGTTCGCAAAGTGGGAGGTTTTTTGAAGAGGGCGCCACCGGACTTTGATGAAGCTTTTTTAATAAGTTCAAAGAGAGGAGTGAGCCATCTTGTAGCGTACGATCTTTTTCCTGGTGTGACTAGATGAATTAAATTCTGTCCTCATGGACCTAATCCTAAGGACTATCAAAGATCCTACACCACAAGATGGTTCACTCCTCTCTTTGAGTGTTTTAAAAAGCGTCCTCAAAATTACAGTGACGCCCCCTGAAAATAAAGGGCGTTGTTTGCGAACTTTGGAGGTACGACATGGATTGGGAAAATAATATCATGGAAACACATAACCTCTTTGGGGTAACAGCAATACTATACTCGAACCACAGTTATCATTATTGTATGAACATTTTATAGCTTGTTTTTTTTTTAAAGCTAAGAATGAATGTAGCAACAAGTAAAGCCCCTGGTGTCTTTTAAAAGTCATTTATTGTATAGGGATTTTAGAGGACTATTAAAATTTATCGGCGCCACCGCCCACCGCTCTTCGTAGATCAATGAACAGCAGTCGACCTACGTGAGCAAGGGGGTGCTATTCCTATTCTTCTTCTCGAAAAACGAAAGAGAGCTTCATGATAGCGACTGTATAGCGCCTCCTGAGAACACGCACGTACGGCCGCGGACACTTTTTTGTTGTTGCGTGAACCAAGATATAATATTATTTACATTGATACGACACATTGTAAAAATTAATTAATGACCTCCCTCCATAAACAACAACAGCAATAACAAACAACAAATAACAAACAACAACAACAAAAACAACAACAACAACAACAACAACAACAACAACAACAACAACAACAACAACAACAACAACAACAATATAACAGTCTCGATACATGGCGCACGGAAGAAGTCAGACTAATGCACACCAAAAGTTTCAGTATTAATTATTATTACCAGAGATAGTACACAACCATACAATACCCATTGTATACACTACATGTGAATCGATACCAACATCATAAACTTGAGCAAATTTCCGCTTCCCACTTTCATTGTAATGTTGAAATAGACTCTAGTGTCGATTGTCGACTTGGGGGGTAGGCAGTGCCGATCTGAGGTGTGTGTGTGTG